TCCTTATTTTGTCCGAAAATTAGTTGCTAATTAATTTAGAACAGAATGAAACGATGAGATTGTTGTTTTTAAAGGTTTCTAAAGAAAAATCAAGTCYCTTGCAATTTTTAAAAACAGTAGTACAGCACAAAAATTGAGTACTTTTGTCACTAAATTAAAAATGCTTTGGATCAAAAATAATTCATTTGCAATAAAACTTTGCTTTGCAATTAATTTATTAAAAAAATATATTTTTGACGTTTTCGGTTATGTTTTTCATATTTAACATAATCATAAAATAGTTATGTCTGGTGTCACCAAATGAAYATGTATRCATGAATGAGAATTACCATAATATCATTGTTAATATGTTTTAATGCTGATAGCAAAAACCTCAAATATTTAATAAGGTTTTTCGACATGATAAAAGGCTAGAATTTAAATATTTTTTATAAATGTTTGGTTACGTTAACGGATTTTCCAATTTCTACTCCGCTCTCTTAATTACATAACCCGAAAATTGTCCCATCCCAAACAACATAAACAAAATTTTGTTTTGCAATGGAATAATTTCGCGCGTTGTTCTTTAATCAAATTTCCAATTCAGTTTTCTTCGCCACTCACCTTGTTCTGAACGACGTCGACGATGACATAGATCAACAGCACGATCTCCTGCTCGTCGGAGCCCATGAGGGAGCCCTGGAGGCCGGCGGTGGCCACGTACAGGACGCAAACATGGTGGGGCCCGATCATGTTGAGGCCTTTAATGCTCATTTGTGCCCAAAATCGGCCTCAGCACCTCATCGTGGATTATAATAAACACCAGCCCGACATGTTGCCACGTGACACCTGTTGGATTTCGGGCGAACGTTCCGTTTTTCGCACCTGGGGCTATCTTATCTCCGGAGATGCTATCACAGACTTGCGGCATTCGCATTTACCTAGGGATTTTGCGGCCGATATCACAATGCTGACTACGATTTTTGGCGATTTTGCGAAGTTGGCGTCACTAAAACAGTCACTGTCACTACACACCTGGACACTAGATCAACAGGTTGGCGTCGATCGTCAATTGTTTTTAAAATATGTATTAACAAAAAAATGACAACACACGTTCACAGCCTTCTACGCAATTGACGACGAGTTACAGTCGCCGAACTTTGGAAGTTTCGAGTAATTTTGTCGTGCAGGTAACTCGTAGCCTCAATTTTCCCGTACGTATGAAGGGGCCGCGTAGACTGGTTCTACCTGAGCCGTGAACCAATCGTGGAGAAGGGTATGTACAGTCTAACGCAAGGTAACTGGATTCGAGCCGCATATTCTATGGTTATATAATTAGATAACTTTGTTCGGTTGCCGCATGTTCTTGCACATTTTCGCCTGCTTGTTCGATCCTGCATTGTGGAGTGTAACAAAACAAGCGAAAATGAGGCACAGGATGAGTGATTAGCGTTTATTCAGTCGACATGGCCGAAGCATATGGCGAATAGAGAAACGAACATAACCTAATTTGACAGACATTGCAAGTCTTTTGTTAATAAACTATCAATGGGAGCAAATTCGGTTTTGTTGATGTGATCCAGCATCGAAATCTCTTGGGCGAAATGCCCAGTGGATGTATTACTGACCGTTGACTAATTTATTGCTTTGACTTCTCGAAGCACCTAGTTTATTGATGTCATAAAGATTGAGTACCTGAAGCATCACGATTTGTTTGGATTCGAGAAAATTCAGATTTATGACACCATCGAGGAAAGTTGCATTTATGTGGCAGTCATAAATTGATTTTTGCAAAATCCAGTTTATTTTTTTCAATTCATGTTATTTATTGTATGATTTATGTTTTTATTTAAAGTCTAACCAAAGTCTGTAAAATATGTGAAGATCATTAAAACTCAAATTTTGCTTAAAAAACACTTGTTTAACAATAAAGAATTTTTTCCTTAATACCGTTATCATTAGCAGATTCATTTGTGGAATTTTTAATAGTTGGCACTTTCAGTTTTTGATTTATTTTGATAAAAATATTAAAAGTGAAAATAAATTATGTATTGCAAGAAATTTGCCTCGAAAAGTGTGCGATAAGGTCATGCAAAAATTGCTCTAGTTTTTGCAACAAAATGAAAAAAAGTGGAAACTTTGAAATTGAAAAAAATTACTTTCATTAATTTTGGGGTCATTTCGAATAAATTACATAAAATTTTTGCCAACTTTATATCTTGTATTCTCCACAAAGTGTAACTTTTCATCCTTTTGTATCAAAATTTTTGCTTTTTTAGTAGAACAAATTTCTATCTGTTTTTAATCCAGAATTAACATTTCAACATTTAAACCATATTTTTTTTTATTTGTTACAGTAATTATTCAGTCACTTGAAATTTTACACAATTTTTAACCGCTGAAAACTGACAGATTATCAAAAACTTGCTGCATGTTTTAAAACACATTTAGCGCTAGGTAATTTTTATTAAGTTTATTATGTTGTTGACTAAGATGTTTTGATTGCGAAATTCTTACTTGGGACACTTTATACATTTGCATTTATATATTTTTTATTGATTTGATTATCAAAGTGAACTAAAATACTTTGAAAACTGATTAATTTTAAGTAATTGTGGTGTATGTGCTGTAAACATACT